AATCAGGCTTTAGAACAATCATGCCATCGATACCATACTTATTTGACGAGTCTTCAAGTTCCCCAGAAATCAAAATTTCTGACTGAGGTAGAATCACAAAGGTATGAGAGACATGGACCGAAAAAATGAAGGCTTTATCAATTAGATCATTGTAGTCATCTACGCGCACACCCTCAAAAGGAAAAGGACTGGGCTCAGAGGGAAAACTAACTAATCCATCCTTAAAATCAACTTTAAAACAAAATCGTTGAAGAAAATCTCTACCCAGTATAACATCAAAAGACAGGTCTTCTATCACACATACTTTTGAAAGTAAATATACGAGAATCAATAAGAAATTCCGTCAAAGTCTTTCCTACAGTAGTCAAACGAGAACCATTGACTGTAGTCACACTTTCTGAATCAGGCTCACCAAGTTCTGGGTAAGCGTAACATAAGTGTTTTCGCCACACATTAGCACTTACTGCTGTGACAGCAGCTCCGGAATCTGTTAAACATTGAAAATTATGACCCTTTATGCTATCAGGTAGAAGAGCACTTCCAGGCGCAAAAGAAGTAGAAATGTCATTAACTTTGTCCTCTACATAATTACTAACGGGCTGTACAAAAGAATTCGCTTCAGCTCTGCTGCCAAAGTTATTTAAAGTCCTCGAGACGGATAAACTTGTTGGCCCCTGTTTACCATTCTCTAAATTACTATCAGTCAAAGGCGAGTAGTCACTACATGAAGTTTTGTCGCCATCGGGCACCTTATTTTGCTTAGCGTTGTTCCAAATGACCTCCGAAATAACAATATTGTCACTACTCAACACATCATCATTAAAAATATCTACTTGTTCAAAAACTAGGCTGTTTTCTTCGAGAACAACACTTTTAAAACTTGCAAGCTCTTCCTTTGAGACCTTACATAAACACTCAGGAGTTTTATCCTGAGCAGACAAAGCAGAAAAATTCGGCGTCCTGGCGCCTGAGAATAAAGTCGCGTGTCCTTCCTAGACACCGGAGGTTGTTTAAGTACTTCCACAGTATTTGTTATGAATACTTCAAACAATTCAAGTACCTTAATAACGATAGTTAAAACAATGGACAAAATACTGACGATACTACTCTCCAAACAAGCGCCTTGTTTTTGTCTACCACTCTGCGGAGGATGACTAGATGAATGTTTTGGCGAGGTTTGACAATTATCTTTGACAATAACATGTTGCGCTAAATCAATTCTCTCATCTACTGAAATATCGACAGGCTTGACTTTACTGAAAGCAAGTTTATCAGCATTGCACGATCCTCCCGATAAATGTCGGTCTACAAGTTTCATTAAAGGCTTTTTGTACAGCATTTGACGCCTCCATCACGGGTTCATTTTCTAACGAGACAGGGGCACTTTTCAGTTTCCCTGCTGCTTAGACTGCCAGTCAGAAGTGTTTTGACCCCTATTTTTATAAAAAAATTTTGTCTACCACTACCACGACGAAAATTCTTAGTATCAGGTTTTGTCCTTTTCGACCACAATTATAGCAAACGGCATCGCCAAAACGAGATCGGGAACTCCTTGGCTGAATATTCTGGTTTGAGCGCTGATTATAACCACTGGGTCTAGTGTTACTATTGCTTCCCATTAATTCGCGAAATTCGTCTCTAATAATTTGCTTCATCTCAGACTTGCTCATGTGAGGGTTTTGATCTGAAGCTGGACCCACAGCACTAACTGACTTATCCTTAGGGTTGATTGCTTTTGAGAGTTCTACCAAAATTTGCGCTGATACTTCCTCAGGGTTAAAGTCTGCGCGTTTACTCGACCCTTGCAATACTGACTCTTTTAGCTTAGCGAAGTTTTCTGCCGATTCCAAATTTTCAGGCTGCTGCAAAACAACGTACTCGCCAATCTAGGGAATGAGTCCCTGGACAAAGTAGTGTGTCTACTCAGAATTGGGCAAATTAATTGTCGCACAATGTGTTCGAAGGCTATAGGCATAATCTGCAACCGATTCTTTCTCTAGTTGTTGTCGCTGCCCTAGCGCCTGTCTTACGCGCCACTCACTAGCACCGGATGCAAAATGCGTGACTAATTTCTAAGACAATTCTTGGAAAGACATCTCGTCGGCCCTTGGCAAAGTTTTAAACCAAGCCTTAGCGTAGGCCTTTAAATAAAGAGGAAGTCCTAATGCTAAACTATCGTTGTCCCAACCATTTAGTCTACCGGCCCTCTTATGATTCCTAACAAATTCATGAGCGTCTTCGGATTCGTCGCCTCTAAAAACTGGAAACGTAACCGATGATTTAACACCGCCACTTCTATTTTGTGAATTAACCGAAGCTTGCATTCGTTCGACTGCTTGGCATAACTGACTAACTTGGTCTTCCATTTCTGCATAGGCTGGTGCGAGAGACAATTGATTTGAGTCTAAAGAATTGTGTCGAGTATCAACAACCGAGTCATTACGAGCTTCGAGAGAATCTTCGCTTACATTTTCACGATCGGAAAGATTTTCTCTGGTCTTGCCGCTCTCATAAATAGGATCTTCTTCGTATTCAGAACTTTGGCTACCGGTACAAGAAGAAACTAGAGAACACTCACTATGCGTAGGAATTCCACTAAACGCCTTTGATTGTGCGTCAGCCCTCGGCGATCTATTAGCTGATTTAAAAAAGTGAACGAAAGAATGGTGCCCTCGATTGCTGAACGGGTGGAGGAGGGGTTGGCCACTCATTCGAACCCGAACTTAAAGCTAAGTTTTCCTGGCGAACGGCTTCCTCAGCCAGGGCTCGCGCGCGCTGTCTAGTAATCAGGATGAATATTTAAGAGATGCTACATGAGCCAAATTTCCCAACAAAAAAAAAGGAAAACAACGCAACCCAAAAAAAAGGCTACTAACAAAAGGAAAATGCTAACTTTGAAATCGACCAACAACAGCGATAATCAAATCAGAAGCTGACTGACCTATACACTAATAAAATAAACTGTTACATTCTACGCTGGCTATATCGTTATAAAAGAACTGGGCTATCACTCAGATTTAGAAAGTCAAATTAGCTTGCAACGGAAAAGCATGCTGATAAAAGTGAAGTTCCACTCACAATTGTAGGAATTCCAAAAGCGTACTTTACCAACTTATAGATAACGGGTGCTCCACCGGTTTTGTTGAAGACGGGTCCTCCACCAAATTTGTTGTGGGGTTTTCACCACTCGCTTGGCGAATTAACAATAGGTACCAAGACTCTATACTTTTCTTCTTTTATTCTCTCCTCTTTTATTGTTGCTACTACCTTCTACTACCACAGCTATTTCTCTTCTTCTTCTTACATCAACGAGGAGTGCCCTCTCATTTAATGTAAAAATCACAG